TTCTTAATCCAAAGAATGTCGTTGACGCCTTCAGATCTGAGACTTACATTCAAGTTTCAACAACGATAGTTTGCAGTTATGGTGTTTTACGCAATATCTATCAGTAATAGTCAAGTATAATTTTTGTCGAGCGTGAGATTGTTGTTTGTTTGTCCCATTTTTGTTGCGTTTTTTCTTGTTATTTTTTTTTTCTTTTTCTACTGTTTTAGGTCTTTTCGTTAGGTTTTATTCGTTTTTATAGTTTATTGTGCGTCTTGTTCTATTTAGGTTTTATATGTGTTTTTCGTGTGTTATTCCGGTTCTCTTTTGTTTTGGTGTGCAGGTTGAAAGCCTCAGGAGGATTGGATTTCAAGCAAAAATTGACCGTGCAAGCATAATTACATAGAGCGTTTCGTTGGCATCACACAGGAGTAAACGAGACCAAATTCCGAGTCCAAACGAGCGTAAACGAGCCCGAGACGCGAGGTTGTGCACGAAAGTCCCTAGTCAGACCCAGCGTTACGCGCGTGTGATACGGAAGTGGGTTCCGGACCCCTGTGACAAGAAGGACCCAGATCCGAGACGACCCGAGGAGGCTGAAAATAGGGCCAAAACGACGCATGCATGGCCTAAATGACGGGTGCGAGCTCGTATGCGAGGCGCAATGACACGCAAGAAAGGGCGCATTAGAAAAGGGAGAGAATACGCGCATTGGCGTAGACGCGCATGGCGTTTGGAGGTTGGAGCATTGGTGGGCACGCAGGGAAAGGATGTCGGGAGGTTGGCGCGCACGAGCGGTTGCGGCAGATGGACGAGCGCGTATCGGGCGCTGGACGATGTGCGGGCAGTGTTGGGCGTGCATAGGCGCGCGGTAGAGGATCGGGACGCCGGGGCGCTGGAGGCGACGCGCGAGGCATGGGACGACGACGCGAGCGGCATGGACATGAGAGACGTGCGCGGCACTCGCGCGGGTGGCAGGGACGCGCAGGATGTAGGCGGCAGCGGCGATGGGCGCGCGATAGCGCGCAAGTGCGGGACAAGCGCGGATGACCCAATCCGCGCGGGCGTAGGAATGCTGGGCGATGACGAGTACGCGCGCGAGATGATCGGCACAAACGAAGCGCGCGCAACAGCGTGCGCGTGTGAGGGGCGCGCGCGAGTCCTAGTTTCCGAAGGACTAGGCGAGAGGGCTGGAGAGGCGGCGTGCGCGTACGGGGCACACGGGGCGCGCGATACCGCGCGCGCCGAGGATTAGGAAAGCCCGATGGCGCGCGCATGTGAGGCGGTCGAATAAGTTGGGGCGGCGACTAGGAGATTCTAGATTTGCTTGGTGTGCAAGCCAAGCATTAGTTATTTGGTAGTAATAGGATTTTATTGCTTTCTAGTGTTAGGATTTCTATTATTTCAAGATTTAGGAGATCTAGTATAGTTAGGCTTAGATTTATTTTTGCACCTATAAATACCCCATGTACCTCATCATATTTTACATGTTGAATTGAGTATTGAATTGGTGAGCCAATCTTGAGGGGGAACTGATGTTCTTAACGTGTGTTTAAACAAGGCCGTTAGTGCGTGTTTACATACAGTGTCGGAGAGAAGGCCATTAGAGCGTCTTGAAGTCACGGTATCTAGGAGAAGGCCGTAGTGCGTCTGTTAGATACACCTATCGTGGATAAACGAAGGCCCTGAGTGCGCCGTTTATTCACAACCCGTATAGATAACAACACGATCCGTCATCATTGGTGCTTTCCTTGAGAGGCGCTGATCGTGTCTTTATCTATCCTATCTTTTTTTTTTTTTCAGTTTGCCTTTTGCTGAGGGGCCGAATTTCTCTTTATTTTTGTTGGGATTCGAATTTTTGTTCGAATTTTCCCTTTTATTTTTCGAATTTAAGTCTTAAAAAAAAGTGTCATCTTGTTAGACCTTTGTTTGATTTTTGTTCGGTTATTACCTTTTGTTGAGGGGCCAAATTTCTCTTTATTTTATTTTTAATTTTGGGTTCGAATTATTTTCGAATTTTTAGAGTAAAAAAAATATATATATTTTTCGGTTTTGTTCGAATTTATTCGAAGAAGTTAAAAAAAAAATGTTGTTCGAGTCATTAGTTAAATTGGATTGGGAGGATCTCGAATACATCGAAAATTTGGAGAGAGAATTAACCCCTTGGGAGCAAGAGTATTTGGAGGAGATGTATGATCAAAAAGAGGAGTATGAAAGACAACTCAAGATCATGGAGGAAGAGCAACAAGCGGAGGCCGATGAGAAGTTCCCAGGATCATACGAGCAAGAAGCCGAGCACAAGGGTATCGAGATCGACAATGAACCCATGTTCTCGATCGAGTTGGCGGGGATTTTCGACGAGGAGACCATATTTTCGTCTGATGTTGTGGGCTATGCAAAGGATGAGGAACTCAAGGTCGTCGAGATAATTGGTGGTGCGATCGAGCGTGCCAATCACAACGACGGCGAGGCCGAAGGAGTCGAAGGGGCCGAGGTCATTGGTGCGATCTTGGTCGTGGGTGATGGGTGTAAAACGTGCGCACGGGAACAGCGCGCGCAACACATCGAGGTCGTGGCCGAAGGATCCGAAGTGCTTGCAGTCAGAGAGGAGATGTCTGTCACGGTCGAAGCGGGCCATGATGAGAAGGCATATGCACAGTACGATGCGGATGGAGAGGTGGTCGAAGTCGAGAGCGAGATCTTGGCCATGGTCGACAAGGGCCATGACGAGACGCGTAGGAGGTACAATACGGATGAAGGGGACGCAATGTTCCAACTTGAAAACGAAGAAAGAGTGCCCGATGTTTGGATGGTCGAGGATGAATCCTTGAGGACAAGGAAAGTCTCGAAGAGGAGGGGAATGATACGGAAGTGGTTTCCGGACCCTTGTGACAAGAAGGACCCAGATCCGAGAGACCCGAGAAGGCTGAAAATAGGGCCAAAAAGACGCATGCATGGCCTAAAAGACGGGTGCGAGCTCGTATGCGAGGCGCAATGACACGCAAGAAAGGGCGCATTAGAAAAGGGAGAGAATACGCGTATTGGCGTAGACGCGCATGTCGTTTGGAGGTTGGAGCATTGGTTGGCACGCAGGGAAAGGATGTCGGGAGGTTGGCGCGCACGAGCGGTTGCGGCAGATGGACGAGCGTGTATCGGGCGCTGGACGATGCGCGTGCAGTGTTGGGCGTGCATAGGCGCGTGGTAGAGGATCGGGACGCCGGGGCGCTGGAGGCGACGCGCGAGGCATGGGACGACGGCGTGAGCGGCACGGACATGAGAGACGTGCGTGGCACTCGCGCGGGTGGCAGGGACGCGCAGGATGTAGGCGGCAGCGGCGATGGGCGCGCGATAGCGCGCAAGTGCGGGACAAGCGCGGATGACCCAATCCGCGCGGGCGTAGGAATGCTGGGCGATGACGAGTACGCGCGCGAGATGATCGGCACAAACGAAGCGCGCGCAACAGCGTGCGCGTGTGAGGGGCGCGCGCGAGTCCTAGTTTCCGAAGGACTAGGCGAGAGGGCTGGAGAGGCGGCGTGCGCGTACGGGACACACGGGGCGCGCGATACCGCGCGCGCCGAGGATTAGGAAAGCTCGATGGCGCGCGCATGTGAGGCGGTCGAATAAGTTGGGGCGGCGACTAGGATATTCGAGATTTGCTTGGTGTGCAAGCCAAGCATTAGTTATTTGGTAGTAATAGGATTTTATTGCTTTCTAGTGTTAGGATTTCTATTATTGCAAGATTTAGGAGATCTAGTATAGTTAGGCTTAGATTTATTTTTGCACCTATAAATACCCCATGTACCTCATCATATTTTACATGTTGAATTGAGTATTGAATTGGTGAGCCAATCTTGAGGGGGAACTGATGTTCTTAACGTGTGTTTAAACAAGGCCGTTAGTGCGTGTTTACATACAGTGTCGGAAAAAAGGCCATTAGAGCGTCTTGAAGTCACGGTATCTAGGAGAAGGCCGTAGTGCGTCTGTTAGATACACCTATCGTGGATAAACGAAGGCCCTGAGTGCGCCGTTTATTCACAACCCGTATAGATAACAACACGATCCGTCATCAGCGTGCCGCGCCGCGATGACCGCCACGACCCCAACATAGAGCGCCAGTTTCCAGCAGTCACGCCGCGCAGTCCTCCACGCCGCAGCAGATGACTTCCCTCGCGCCGTGCTACACATGGCGCCGCGGCAGGCCATTTCATCACGCCGTATTACACATCGCGCTGCAGCAGGCCTTCTCATCGCACCGTGGCCCTTCACCACACCCAGCGCCATGAGCAGAGCGCAGGAAAGAAACAGTTGCATAAATCTTAACAAAATATTTCAACCTTTTATTAGAATTAATTTCAATTCAATTTGTTTAGTAATAAAAAATCGCTTCAATGTTAGAAAAATTCGGTTGCATTTTTAGGTAAAATTGATGATTCTTTTCACTTTGTTTTAACTAGGCATTCAGATCAATTTGTTTGGTAAAAATTGATGTATTGGTAGGAAAATTTCCAGTTTCATTTTTAGGAAAAACTAATGATTCTTTTCAATTTTACTTAATCAAAATTTTGAATTAGAAAAAAAAGGGCGTGGAAAACCCTAAAAATTTCTACTTTCTTTCTACTAGAATTTTGTTTGATAAATAAGATTCCTTATTTTTTTTAGATATAATTTTTAATTAATAACTAATAATACATAATTTTTTTAGATAAAATTCAAACACTCATGTAGTATTTTATGTCTTAAAGTACCAAAATAAAATGTTGTACGTATGAAAATTTTCAATGATATATAAAATTTATTATCATGATATTTTAATGTAATGAAACGATTTAATACAAAAATATATTTTAAAAATAAATTGAAAAAAATGTTCTGAAATACAAAACTATCGCACGAGATTCTCATAATTACACTCGGTTTTTACAGTAAAACAGTCTCTCATAAGCCGTCGTTACTTAAACCTCTCCCCACACTTTGCCCTTTCGTATCAGTCTATCAGAAAAAGCAATCTTTAATCCAAGATCATGAGGTTCTCTGAATCTGTATTTTATTTTATTTTTTTTTCAGAAATTTCATTTGCATTTGTAATTTTCAGTATTTTTTGTGATTTTTTGGGTCCGGCGAACTAACGGCGTCTTTTTTCTGTTGGTCGCAGCCGGCAGCCAGAGGTTCTGTGGGCTCAGAGGTCCGACAAACTGTACCTGACAGTGTCCCTTCCCGATGCCAGGGACATCTCCGTCAAATGCGAGCCGGAGGGCCAGTTCACCTTCGCCGCCGTTGGGGCTAACGGCGAGCCCTTCAGCTTCACTCTCCAGCTTTATGACAATATTGCCCCTCAGGTTGCCGGTTAATTCACGCTGTTATTGTGGTCTTTGTGGTGCTGTTTGTTTCATTTACGAGTTCTTGTTGGGAAATCAGTGTGGAAAACGGAAATTTAGGAAGAAGAAAGTGAATATCTGATATAATTAAGTTGATTTGAGTTGAGCATCTCCTAGTAATCGATGATTTACGATAAATTGGATGCTTTTCGAGAATCACATCTATTTCCTTGAACAAAATGAGGAAAAGACTACTTGTTTTTTTCTAAGCAGTCCTTGAGTTTGCTAAATGTCGGGTTCAAGATTTGCTGATGGTTTTGGTTGATTGTTAAAATTGTTGGTTTTTGAGTAGAATGCAATCACTTTTTAACAACTGTGATTAGTTTTTTGATATTAGCGAAAATTGGTCTGAATTTGTTCGGATCAGATTAAGTGGGTTATTCTTTGGTATGATGTGTTTTACGAAACAAATGCACTTACTAGTTTATGGCTTTGTTCTCGCCGATGTTAGCTCTATAATTCTTGAATTAGTAACTATTCAGATTTCATTGTTGCCGGTGTAGTCATTGGCCATTACCAAATCGATTACTGGAGCTAAAAATAGCTTCCTCTGATATCCGTGTGGACTGAAAAAATGTCTAATAGAACTATCGGCAATAACTTGTTGAAGTTTATTCCTATTTATTTCGATTTAGTCATGACGTGTATGAGACTTGACGAAAGAACACTTGGGCGAGACTTTCTATTGTTTTAATGTTGATAATAGTTTAACATATTTCTCGTATTGCAACTAGACATATTTAGCTTGGTATATGCACTTTGATGTTTTTGTGTAAATCCGTCTTTTACCTCGTCCTTACACTACTTGTACTTGCAGCCTCTACCTATGAACGTGGCATGAATGGCACATTTAACTAATTTAATTATGCGATAACTTAGGAGTTGTGTTACTAAATGCAGGGATGCAGAACAAAAACTGGTCTAAGGAATATACTATGCTCTATACAAAAGGAGCAAAAGGGATGGTGGAAAAGACTATTGAAATCCGAAGAAAAGCCTGCTCCATACATTAAGGTTGATTGGAATAAATGGTGTGACGAAGATGATGAAGAATCCGAATGTGAGTTTCACGTTACATCTTCTGATCTTGATCTTCATTGATAATTTGATCTTCATGGTTATTGAGCTCTACTAAACAGTTTTCTCGACGAACTTTCATTTAATTTGGCGCTTGGGTTGAATAACTAATGAGAAGTAGTGGTAAAGCATGAGCTACTTTGTTTTGGTTAAAGGTTGTTTTATTGATCGATGCAACAAAATGATGATTCCTAGCATATGATGCTATTTCGCATGGCTTTATTTTGTTTAAGTGATGTTTCATCTTGCTATGATTTTCTTATAGAACAATAATGTTACATGAGTAAAGACCCTTGATGTTAGTATGGGCTGTTATCTTAGTTTTGACTCCTTTTTTTTTATATATATATGCAGCATATCTGGGTTCTGATGATGACACCATGGTAAACTAACTATTTTCTCTTTCATTTATCAAATTTAATCAAGTAATGGAAGGATGTCAAATTACCGGCTTAACTTATATGGTTCTTATATTACAGTATACCAGTGAACATGAAGAGAGCAGTGATGACGAGGGCATGCTATGTGAGTTCAAATACCTTTTATAATACACACACCATCACATATGCCTGTCTATAAACATTAAATTCTGCTGAAGATTATGATTACTCTATTTAGCGGTTGATGTGGTTTCCTTGTTATGTGTGGGCATTTCCACTTGGCGTCTCTTATTATTTTCTCTTGCCCCCATTACCTTGTCATTTACGGCCGTTATCTCATAATACTGTGGTTAATTTCTTTTTCCTGCTGATTTTTGGTGACTTATTAATTTTTTCATTAATTTGGTCCATCCTGTCGAATTAATTCAAAGCGATTAGTCGAACGTAGATTTTTATATGAGGCGGCCCTACCGTTAAGCGACCATCATACCCTTCTAACAAAAATGTGTACTTGTGCAGTTGTCATAAAATGTCATGCTTTTTTGTTTACATTGGTTATTTGGAGTATGACATTTCAGTTCAAAAGTTTGCGTATCTATTGAAAAAGTGTCGTTGTTTGCGTATCTATTGAAAAAGTGTCGTTTTCGAACAAGTTACTTTCGAACGAATGGAAATAATCGATCTGCTCATCTTCTTAATGCCCCACAGATCTTCCTGATTTGGAGAAAGCTCGAGGCAATTAAAGAGTCGCCTTCATCTAAGAGCGTAACGTTAGACTTATCATCGGGCACCAATGTAGAGATTGCTGAAGTGTATGAGAGACCATGTCATGCTTAGGTTCTTTTTCCTTTTAAGAGTATTATTTAGAGGTGAAATTATTATTGTGTAGATTTTGATGAAGTTCTGTTTGTTTAGTTCAAAATTTGGTATCGGCATCGGCATCTCTATTTCTACAACAGCATAGTTCAAATGGCACTCAGTTATGATCTCTATAATGTACAAAAATGTTTTGAGGCTGTATTTTACATGCAATGCCCGAATTGCAAAATATGTTTCTCTTTTTTTTCTTTTTTTTTTTTTT